ATCATCTTCTGTTAGCCATGAAGCTTGTTTCATTCTTCCACTTATAGCCTTCACTCACAGGAAATCCTACATTTAGAATCAAGTTTAGGAACATGCAGTGAGATTAAACACATTTTACCTAAATGAATAATAATCCAAAACATTTTAAAGACTTCAAAAGTACACACTTTGTTTCCGTGGAATGTCCCGATTTCTGGCCTTGGTCAGCTGAATGGCTTCACACTTGGTCCGCTTCATCAGAGGAGGTACAGACGGATAGAAGCTGTGTCTCCGCCTGGGTGCCACATCATCACCACATCTACCTTTCTTCATTGACTTGAAACTGTTCTGGGTTCGTAGGTTACTCTCCACACTAGTTTCTTGATCTCTCCTGGTTGGGACAAAGCTCTTTTGACGGTCATTAAACACTTGCTTCTTGGCTGAATGCTGCATGCATGTAAAGGATGATGGGTCCTTTGTATGAGTGTAAGACTGACTTAATGTCGAGGGGCTGCTGTAGGAATGAGATTGCTGTAAACTGTATAAAGAAAAATGTTGCCTGGCACTAGCTGAGCTGGTATTAGTTTTAGGAAGTAATGTATGGTGTGTATCAGTGTGGTGCGTTCCTCTGTATCCAGTCTTGTCATTTATCTCTTTGTAAAAATGTTGCGTCTCCTTTTTAGAGGAGCGAGTGTTTTTGCTGGTTTCTGGTGTCGCCAGAGTTTTTTGGACTGTAGACTGCTCCATGTGCTTCAGGTGCTCACCAGGCTGAGAAGCTTTCTGAACAAAAAAGTGAGGACTCACAGGATTAGGACTCAAATCCAGAGTCTGGGGATACCTCTTAGGCATGTACTTGGAGGATGGACTAGTTTGTGCATAAAGTAAGGCATCATCGCTGCCCTCAGTTTGTGATGAGAGTACTATGGTTTTTCTCTTCTGTGTGTGAACGCATTTTTCTAATGCTTTTTCCAAAGTCTTTGAGGTCAATAGCATTTTTGCCTTTTGTTGAACATGCTCGTGGCAAGCTTTAGTGGAGTATACCTCCCTCTCCCCAGACTTCAGAAGCTTCTCAGATGAGTATTTGGATGACAGACTGATTTGAGAGTTTTCATTGGCAAAAATGTTGGTTTGAGCTTCCATGAAGGTACCATTGCTATTCTCCATTTCTAAAGAAATGGTCTTCCTTTTGGTAAGGACTTTTTCCATGTCTGTTTCCACGGTTTTTGAGGTAGGTGGTCTGTTGGCTTTTTGCTGAAAATGCTTAGGATGCCTAACTTGAATCAGTTTTCTCTTCTTTATACTGCGCGATAGTCTAAAACTTACATCCCGTCTCTTTTCTTTCAACTGTGGATGTTGAAGTTTGGGTTGATGCTGAGACGTTGTGTCTGCAGGAAACATACCAGGCTCTTTGGTCTTTGTTTTAGCACTTTCATGCTTGCCGTCCTGCGTTTTATTATTTTTCCTTTTTTCACCTTGTGAAGTACCATCCCTCCCCATCGACTCACAGATGACTCCACTTCTTCTCTTGACATGTCTGTTACTTTGGTTTCCATCATCCTCTGTGTCAGATATTACTATAACAGCAGGATCATCTGAAATGCTTCGTGCTTTTCTACCATGGTGAGATCCAGTATTATTACGTGTTTTTGTCCTATTTGGAAGGTCAGAGTTCCCACTCTGGATCACTTCGTCACAACATCCGGACAAATCTATAGATGCAAGTCCATTGGTTTGACAGTTTCCTTCCACAGTTTCAGGAGAAGGTTTCTTCAGTTGATTAAGGCTGGCAGCTCCACTGTTCCCTGTGCGCGTAGAGAATAATCTCTTTGTTTTTGTCTCTGGACAGCTTTGGACACCTTCATCCTCGGTGTCAGAATCAAGGTTGATGATGTCATCCTTTTCTGAAGACTTGCTTCTGTTCCCCGTTTGACTTGGTTGTAAATTTGCCATCTCATGGTCTTCATTTTCTTTTTCAGAACCAGAGTCATT